GAACATGATTTCTCTCTGTCTGAAGACGGTGTAGACAGATTCAGAACCAGTCTGTCCATGAGAGACATCCAGACCGCCACGAAACCTGTCAGGACGTTTGGAAAAACGAAAAACATCGGAACTACAATTCTTAAAGAAACTTTCCTCTAAATGTCTTTTTTATGTCCACATTTTTATGTCCTCATTTTCTCACAGTTGTTTGTCTCACCCTTTAAAGTCCTGAAGTTCAATGTTGTCCCCCAGGATACCGAGAAACTCTTTGAAAGCTGGTGTCTCTTCATTGTTTCCAAACAACTCTTCCTCTGAGGTCTAGGAGAAAGTACACAACAGTAAATAAGAGGTGACATCATAATTGACTAAAATCTCAGCCAGTTTAGTTGAAGACAACACTGATACACAGGCAGGAATTGAAGAAAGACACTCACAAAAATATTTTTTTAACAGCTCTGATTATCTTGTTTTTCTTTTAGTTTTCATAGCTATCTGCTGCCACCTAGCAGAAGAGGATTTAATCGTTCTGCCATTAATGCTTCGGTGAGCAAAGAAAAATTAACGGTACACCTAATGATCTCTCACGGCACACTCGTGTGCCACGGCACAGATGTTGTGAATCACTGTCTTAAAACACGCCAGATCTACAAGGTCAAACATGCTAGGACACGTCTCTCAGGCGTCTCCTTTTAAAGGGATTGAAAAATATCTTTGTCAAGAGTTGAGAGGTTGGGAATTTTAACTTTTTCCTTTTCCTTGAACAAATATATTTAGTTCATCTTGGAACTTTTTGACCCTGTTCAGTAGGCTGCCGTCCGGTCCACTCACCTGTCCAAACTTCTGGTAGACAACTCCAAATTTAAATGTGTTGTTCACCTCATGTTCGTCATAAGCCACAATCAGCTGGGAACCCTGGGTTAAAAATATAACACAGTATGTAACAAGCTCATTTGTTGTTTACTCAAGGGCCGCCCCCCCCCTCCCTGTACACCCCCCAACATTGTCTCCAGAGCAGTGTTGTTGGGCTCTTGTTTCTAAAGCTTCACATGTGACACACTGTCAGGGCCTCCAGCCAACACTGAGATCCTGTCACTGTCTCTCAAAGACAGAGACACAGATGGTTTTTCTCTCTCTCTCCCTTCTTTCCCTCAGGCGCAGAGTGAATCCATGCTCCATCACTCTGCCGCACCACGCTCAACCGGAGGACAAACACATCCATCAAATTCCATTTGGGAAAGTTTGGGAAAAAATCGATCACATAAAAACCCTTAAGTATAATGTACTTATGTTCTGGTAGTATCTCCTCGAGATGTGGAGTTATATTTACAGCATGAAAGGTTATATATTTAAAAAAAAAAATCTTACTGATGGCCATGATGAAAGTGAAATAAATTATTTGTCTTTCAACAGACACCGAGAAAGAGTTAAAAACTCACCCGGGGGTAAAGGACTGGGTTGAACCTCAGTCCTGTGGCGTCATCACACAGAAGCTGGAAGGAAAAAAAAAAGGTTGCGTTAGAGGCCAATATTTATGGGATTGTCGGCATATACAGCTTTTTTTGTCTATTTGGTTAATAACAGAAGCCAGTTTCCTCACTAACAGTAATAGAGTGCTTTTGTCAAAATTGTTCTTCCAATTACGAGCAGTTTCTGCGAATATGTTGTGTAACCTCGCACAGACTCATCTCCATGATTCCAGACTATTAAAATCAAACAGGTTTCTGAGTGACGGTTGTCAAACCAAAACAAACTAGTGACCAGAAACATTATACGGGAAATGAGTTTCCTCTTCTCTCTAAATCAAATTAGTTCCCAGTACTTCCCTTTTTTTATATAAACATTTCTGTTATTGATACGTCATCATTTTGCTCACTGCAGTGAGTCAGTGGTTTGTTAAGAAGGCAGTATTTTCTGTTCCTTGCTTCATACTGACCTTCACTACCATCCTCCTACAGTGACTATTCTGTTGCTGCTGCTGCTGTTTACTTACCTTTGCAATCTGAGGCACAGTGGGCAGCTGGTTCAGTCCTGCTAAAGAGACCCTGTCATGGACTGTCTTGGTCCTTGACCTGGAGGAAAAAAAAAAAGGAAAATAAGATTTATAAAAATGATAGATTCTTGAGGATAAACACATAACATGAAATAAAATGCCATCATAAACTAAAAAAAACTGCACTATCCCTTTAAGATTATGTATATCATGTTAAAACTAGGGATATCTAATAATATCGGCTAACTGATATTATCATGCCAGTTATTAAGATAATTATGTAATATCTGTAATATCGTTATCTGTTTTTCCTCCAATGAATGTCCGATAAAGTAACGCTTTGGTTTTGCGAAATTAGCTGGAATCGCTTGTGGGGTCCTACGATGTTCACGTCAGTTTTTGGGAAAAAACATATGCATATTTCGGTCGCGGTTGATAATGAAATCGGAAATTAAGTGTTTGGTTAATATCGGCTATAGTTCATATGTGACGTCTCCAGTCAGAACCACAGTGACGGAGTGTGTGTTTCTGCCGCTGTACCTGAGCAAATATCGGCTATAGTTCATATGTGTGTTTCTGCCGCTGTACCTGAGCATGATGCGTAGGAACTCCTGGCCCTCGGCCTCCTCGTGTTTCAAGGACATGATGAGGTTACCGATGCTGCTGCCCGTGCAGTAGTAGTTCATGTGCTCCTGCGTTTGTGAAGAAGAGCAACAGAGCGTTCAGCTACGGTTAGCAGCTAGCACCGACATTAACAAACTCACACCCACCTTGCCTATGAAGTGTTTGCGGTACGCCCGTGCCGTGCTGTTACACTCCAGGCGGTAACTGTGGCCCCCGCCTGGGCTCATGCCGTCTTCTCTGTCCTCTTCCTCACAGAAACTGGACTCAGAGGAGGAGGGGGTCCCGGCCGGGGCTTCTGCATCCTCTATCCAGTAACCCCCAAACTGAGGCAGAATTACCTGTGGATATGGACCCCCCTTTTCCAGGACCTACAGAACAAGTGGGTTGGTGGGAAGGTGAGTCACTCCGTGAAATAAAAAATAGGGATGTCCGATAAAATCGGCCAACCGATATAACCACCGATATTAGCTTAGCTATGAAATATCATAAGAATCAGATTTTTTAGGTTTTTCTTCCGATAATGAAAACTCGATAACCTGATGCCTGGGTTTGGCCCAGATGATGTGACCTAAAAATACATTTTGAAGTGAAAGTGAAACTCTTCTTTGTATCGTGACACAGCACATCACTGCACACAATGAAACTCTGCCTTTAACTCCAACAGCTGCATATATCGTAATCTAAAATGAATGGCATATTGAATATCGGCTAAAAGTTAATATCGGACATCACTCATAAAAAATATATCTGTGTTTTGTCTTTTGTAAAAAATGAAATACTGAAGGATGAAGTTTGAATGTCAAGAGAATGTTGAATGACTCACGTCTTCTATCCGTGGATAGGGAATATAATCATCCTGGTAAACAGAGGGAGAGAGAGACACAGTGTTATCAGGGCTCACGCTTTGACAGGACTGAACTCCAGCAACTTCCACTACAGGTGCACATGCCACAACAACAGCAACGAGGGAAGAAACAGAACATCAGGAATTCTCAGGTGATGACGCAACAGCCTGAAATGCAGAGTCATCACTGAAGCCTTTGAGGGCGTGTTTCGACCCCCTGATGACGTCAACAAACTCTTTATGGTTCAGTGGCCCCGGGAGGTAACAGAGCTATTGTAGTACTTTTGGCAGCCTGCAGGTATTGACCTCTAAATACTGCGGAGGCCTGTCTGAGAGAGAGAGAGAGAGAGAGAGAGGGAGAGCGGCACCACAGACTAGCAGACGTTTCTACTCTACGGCAGCAGAGATGTTGTACTGGCAGGATGGAGAGGATCAATGGACCGCTGGACTTCATTCAGTTTATAATCAATCACATGAAGAGGCCATTGATTTTACACTGAAGAAAAAGCCTGAGAAAAAAAACTGAAAAGTGTTCTCAGGTGTGTTGAGATTCACCCATACACAGATGGATGGGCGCAATACCGTAATTTCCGGACTACAAGCCGCTATTTGTTTTTTTTTTCCACACGGCTTTGAACCCTGTGTCTTAAACAGTGATGCGACTAATTTATGGATTTTTACAGGCTAACGAAGTTCATACCGCTAGCGATCAATGACTTTTCTGCTAGGCTGCTGTGTGTTATGCTAGTAGCGTATGTCTGTCTGTGAATAAAGTTGAGTCCTGTCCTGTTGTAGTGAACAAAGTGAAGGAAGTTAGCCCCAAAGCTAATGTTAGCTTCAGCCCTGGAGCAGATCACTAAGTCTCCCAAAGCGAGAAAGAGCTACCGTGTAACTAGCCGTGTTACCGGTACTGTTCGGATAAAAACATTTATTTTTGTTTTAAAGTTAGTGGGTGCGGCTTATATTCGGGTGCGCTCAATAGTCCGGAGATTACGGTAATAAGACAGCCAAAGACGAAAGAGGACAAACTGATGAGAACCACAAAGAACACGAACAAACCAACATCTGGTCACACCTTCCACTTTTTGGTCTCCTCAGCTTTAGGCGTCTTTATAGTGTCCAAACGCAGCATGAGGATGGAGCACAAGCACAAAGGGGTGATACGGTTTTATATGGAGTCAATATTATGTTCAAATTTAATAAGACACAGAAGAGCACGATGCGCGTACAGAAAAACCAAAATAGATCAGAGAAAAAGCAGAAAGGAATCTCCAGCAGATCCAGACTCAGAGAGCGCAGCTTTCAGCTGCGGCAAATGAAAAACCAGAGCTGTCTGGTTACAGATGGAGAACTGAGGACTTTTTTCAATTTTCTTTTTTTTTAATGGCCTTTAAATCATTGTTACAAATACATGATGTTGACACTAGGTTTGGCTACAAATGTTTTCTACAATAAACAAAAATGTTTAAAATGACTTAAAGATCACGGTGGTGTTAATAATTTTAACTGTTAGCCTAAAGAAAAAAAAAAGGTTTTAAAAAAACAACAACATATTCTTAAGTTACATGATGTTTTCTAAATGACAAAAAAGTGGATACTGCTCCTTGACCTTTTGACCTCCAATTTAAAACATGCTGTTATGTTTCCAGTTCTGTTCTGCACTTCTCAGAGAGTGAAACTATTTTTTATCACAACCCACTTTACATCAATTGAATGATATGAATCATTCAAATTCAATTTTTTATATGAATCAATACAGTTGAATGATTTTCAAAAATTAATATTCTGTCATTCTGGACAGATGGATGTCATAATATTGACCCTGGTTTATTTGGTTCTATTATTATGTCGACCTGAGAGAAAGGTGGGGACCTGAAGTTTTCACACAGGATGTTGATCATTCTGTTCTCGGTCGTGAACCTAATGGAACTATTTGACCACATCACTGGGCCCCGCCTAAAGCAGCGTATAAGGAACACCATATAAAAAGAACAAAGAGTGTGTGTGTGTGTCTGTCTGAGGCCTTATTGATGGAACATCTGCTCCATCCACCGGAGATTCATCGTCCTTAATGTGACGCTGATCATAAAGAGGTTTCAATTTTCACTCACAGACAGAGAGACAAGAGAAAGAGAGAGAGAGTGAGGGAGAGAAAGAGATAAGAAAAAATAATAAGAAAATAAGTTTTGAGATTAAGAGAAAATAATAAGAAAATAAGTTTTGAGATTTGAATAAAGAGCTGCTCCTCTGTGGAGTTTTGGTTTACACTCTGGAAGAACACTGTGAACGCTGCGTTCCAACGTGTTGCTGTTGTTGTAGGTGACAGATTGATGTGCATCGTTTGTGTGATTATCAGGCTACACAGACTTCCTGTCTTCACATCGCACTTCGTGATATCTTCACTCCCTGTACGATTCTCTCTCACCTCAGCCTGAAGTTTCCTCGTTTGTCTCACCCTGTTTTTACCACTTTCAGTTTACCTCAGGGTTGGATTTATCACAGATAATCCTCACTCACTGTTCGTCTCCTGCTCAGAAGAGACGACTGTTGGAATAATTGATGCTCTTTTTCATGTTTCCAGCAAATGGAAAAATAGTTTTTTAAAAATGTCAGGTTTAACAGAGTTTATAACAGATTGAATATAATTTGTGTGGGAAACTGACCGGCCTGCAGTCCAGATTTGTCACGTACTAGAAATGTTTTACAAAGAGGTAAGTGTAAAAAGAGGACATTTTATTTTTCTTACATAGAAAGAATAATCATGTAAAACTAGTAGATTTAATTTCCAAATTATAAACAAAATGTAGCCTGAAGTAATCGGTAAAATGTTCAGTGTTTTTGGAGCATGTTATTAGTTACTGTCAAATAACATTAGGTTGATCAGTAAAAACACTTTTCTTGGTCGGATATTTTCCAAATGTTAGTTCATATTTGCTTTTTAAATAAGTGTTGCAGGGTTTGAGGAAGAGGAAAAAGTCATGATTTTTTTTTGTTTACAGTTTGACCTTCTGCCTTTAAATATGCATTTACATTTGAGGAAGAAAAGAGAAAAACAAACAAACAAACTCTGCAACTTTCCCATGGCGTTCTCAAAACTCTCTCCTAAATCTCCATGCATTTGTTGCACATAGTAGCGACGCAGAGACAGAGGGAAACAGAAATAAACAAATGAGAAGCTCCTACCTGCATTCTCTCCAGCATTTCGAAGAACTCTGCCGACTGAAAGAGAAAGACAGGGAAAGGTTGGAAAAATAGTCGACAAAATCCTTGTAGCCACTAGCAGGAGTTAGCATGTGTTAGCATGAGTTAGCACATGTTCATTCAGTCTTTGACTATAAAACTTCACCTCATTCACCGCACAAAACAAAACAGCCACAAGTGTGAATTTAAAAGTCTATGCAGCGGTGACGTAGACTGCTGACTGTGACAGCTGCGTCAGGAGGGCGGAGTCGCCACCAACAGACGTGCACACCCACTGATAAGCGCCCATTTCCTCATCATAAACCCGCACTTGCAGATGCACACAAACACACATGGACTGAGACTGTGTGTGGAGATAACTACGGCAACCACACGTGATGAGTAGAAGAAGAAAAACTGGTGACGGCACCATGTTAATGTCTTTTAATGCTCTTAAGCGGAGAGCTAACCAGAGAGTTACATTTTTTATTTCTCTAAATCAATCTGGAGATGATCCAAAATAACTTCAAGATTCTAAAATTTTCACCAGAAATATGTCATTCTGGTGTTTTTATTATGATGTGATGGTGAATTTCAAGTGAAATTCACGTGAATTTAATAAAATACAGATAAAAACAAAAACAGAAAACATTGACGTTTCCATTAGAAAATACCCTTCCCACCCTGCAGGGGGTGCTACACTATGAACAGGACTGTCTGATTTTATGTAACTTTTAATTTTGAGATTTGTCTATTTTTCTTTTTTGACACTGACAGGTCGTACATACAGATTTGAAGATCATTAAATTTCCATCTAGTGGAGGTTGAATAAATTCAACACACAACTCTGGGATTTCGTGGAGCAGTGAAACTCCAACAATGGTGTTTTAAAACTTTGACATAAGGCAGCATTTGACTGCAAATTTAAAAAGTTCACAAAAATATTTCAAATGAAACTATGTAAAAAGATATGTGGGTGCAGGTGAGGGCGGGGGAGGAAGGCGATTTATGACATCTTTTGTGCTCCCACTCCCAAAATAGACTCATACCTTGCTAATTTACACCTGTCATGGCGCTGCACAGTTAATGGACCTCTGAAATGAAACAGGAACCTGGAGATAACATCTTAGCGCCACAGATTAGCTCTTCACACACACACACACACACAGCGTGCTCAGGTGTGTAGAGCCCGGGCGTTTCACACTCCTGGGTGACAGCAGCATAAAAAAAAAATTTAAAAAAAAATCTAAACGTCCTCTTTTTGTCAGTTTCTTCTCTTCACTTCACTACTTCACTGCCCTTTGATGTAAAATCCATGATTTTTTTTTTTTACGGCCTCAGACTAGACTCACACGTTCAACAACACAGACTGTGTTAATATTAACCAGGTGAAGGTGAAGGTGTTGTAACACGATACAGTTATATTGATGGAGCAGCAGAAGAGTCAACAGAAGGCTGCCATATCTGTCAGGTGTGTGTATGTACACTTGTTTTATGACTCTAGGTGGACAAAAAAAACAACAGTCGACAACAGGACACAAGTGAAAAAACCTAGAGTGTGTTTTTAAATTTTAAATTATTTCAAAGGTGAATAATTTGAATATGTCTATCTTTTGAGTTAAAATTATTAATTTATTTAGCCTTATAAACAAAGAGTGGCAAACATACGGCCCGTGGGCCAAACGTGGCCCGTTTGGGGGCTCAATCCGGTCTGCTTGACAGATTTTGCTGAACATAACCACTTGACTGCTTACGAAAAATCCCAGGAGTGAAAGTAGTTTTTTTTTTTTTTTAAATATATATTGCCAACAAATTGTTTTGGCCATATATTTTCTGTTATTATTTATTTACAGTATGTTTGAAATTAAAGCAACAAACAGGAAGTAAAACAAACGATGTACGAACGAGGACAAAAATGTCATCCTAAATCAGGAAATGAGTGCTTCCCCAAAAGAAAAATACAAGATGATGAATACTGCGAAAAAATAATAATAAACCAAATTATAAATACACAAAAACCAAGTAACAAATACCAGTGGTGAGGAAGGAAGGATTTGGCCGATTTTCCATTGCGTAAGGATGACGGCCAGTTTAAGCGTTTTAATGTGAGAGTTTATGTAAAGGAGAAGGATGATCTGCCCCACCCTCGGGGTATTTTTGTCTCTAAAACGCAGCCGTTGCAGCTTTAACATCTTCCTTCCTGATGAACGTATCACGTATCCATCCTCACTTTCTCTTGAACATTTGAAAAGACACTGATGCAGCTGCTGCTGCTGCTGGAACTGTTTGGGTGGCTTTGTCCTGAAGTGCTGACGATGTGCTCCATCATCACTGACCAGAACACATCAAGGACAAGAGACGCCACCTATCTCTCTGTTTCACCTCGCTGCCCTGCGGCATCACACTCTGATGAATCCTTCCCTCCAAACTTCTAAGATTCATCCTCCTCTCCTTCACTGACCCGTTTGAAATTTTTTGACATTTACTTTTCACTCCTTCATCTTCTGTTTCCAAGCGTCCATAAATTTCGTATCTCCCCCTTTTTTCTTGCCCAGCAACAACATCAGCATCTCTTATCTCCCATGGCAACGCGACCACAGTGTGCTGGCAGATTAGATCAGCTGCCTCGCAGAGTGACTGTCACACTCAGCAGACAGACTGCATTCAGGCAAATTACTAAGCCACACAGCTGCACATTAACAGTAGTGACCGTGTGACAAATACGACGGTAAAGGAACGGAATCGATTTTTCACACTGGCTTGCTGTTTTGTCCATCGCTCCGATAAAACAACGAAATGCAGCAAGTACAATCACACACCACAACCACGGAGGTAAACATATGTAAAACAATCAAAATGTAATCTGTGCAAAATAACAATTGAATTGTTTGTTCTAGCCTACAGCTAGCCGACTTGCGAACAGCTAGCATGACAGCTAGCAGCAATACGACAGAAAAAGGATATTTACAGTTTAATCCCTAATTTTTTGCAAGACAAAAACTGGCCATTAATTTTACCGTAGCTTGACTCAGATGTACATTTCACACTAGCGCCCCCTACCTAGTGATATCTTGTGTGCATATATTCACCAATGCTACCAGAAGCCCCTTCTTTCAGTGGATTCCGACACTTGACTGTACAGTAACGCTGTGGGTGTGAACTTTACTATAACAATGACAGCATTGTTTACATTTACTGGAGAATAACTAGTTGTAAACAAATATTTTCAAATACAAACACTGCCCCTCCCTCCCCTCTAGGGGCAGTAACTGAGGAGATTTCACCGCCGTGGTCCATAAGTCAAGTGTTCTGGTACAACATCACTATTTTATATCCATCTAACTTGTCTGATGAGATCAACTAGTCCTGCTAAACCTTCTACTGTTCGTCATCTCCTCTGAGGTTTTGGCGGCAGTTGTGCGTCCTTTGAGTTGCGTTGCAGAACATTCTTGCACTTATTTCCCACCTGTAACCATATGAACCTGGGAAACATCTTTATCACGAATAAAAAATGAATAAATAAATAAATAAAAAAGACAACGTCCTTCCTAATGAACATAAACTACTCCCACCTCCACAGTCTATTTCTAACCAGAGTCCATTCAGAGGTAAAGGTGAACTTAAAGGTCGGCACCAGGAGAGTGTGAACATTTCCAACAACTGTCCAAGTTTGAATTCAGTTCGAATGAAAACGTATCTACCTTTAAAGAAGAGCAGCAGAAACATGTGAGTCCTCTACGTCTGTCGTCCTCCGTCTCTCACACTCGTCTACTACGTCTAATGACTGTTTTACATGCTCGTTGCACAAACTGGAAAGTCAAGTTAGGCAGCCAACCGATTGGTGGGAGGAAAGCAAACATGTCATTTCTAACAACACACACACACACACACACACACACGTTGTTTTAGGTCACCTCTGACGGCTAATTGTCGCTGTGGTGGAAGCAACGGTGTCTTGTTCAAAGTTTATTGCTTACACAAAACACACATAAATAAAGACATAAAGGTTAAATATGTAGAACTAAGAAAAAAAAACAACCCAAATCATGGTTTTGCAGAAAAATTTCCTCAATCATTTTAATTAAAAAATAAATAAATAAAATGTATGTTCTACTAACTTGTTTTTATATATATATCTATATCTATATATCTATATATAGATATAGATATACAGTGGGGGGGAATATACTATTAATTAATTAAATTAAAATCTCCCCTATCTATCTAAACCAGGGCTGTCAAACATACGGCCCGGGGGCCAAAATCGGCCCGCTTGGCAGTTAAGTCCGGCCCACTTGATAAAATTTTGAAAATAAAAAAAATACACTTCATTTTCAGGATATTTTTTGATAACTTATATTTCATTAAATATGAATAAATAATAATATATATCTAATATACTTGTATGTACACAAAGGGGAAAAACATGGACTTGTTATTTATAGTTAATTATTATGTGGCATCGTGAACCAAAAATGAGTTTGACACCTCTGATCTAAAGATAAAAAACATAGATATAAAAAAATATTAATAATATAAAATAAAAATAATTTATATTTTTTGTATAAAAATGGGTAAAATATCTGTAAACTGTATATTAGTTTCTGCATTGATTCTGTGGACATCCTTGGACGTGTCAAGGATTATTATCCTATTAAAAACTCCCTCTTCTTCACAGGCTCTTCCGTGGTGTGTGACAGTTTGAGCCGCGAGTTACTGTGACTCTGCAGTTTGTCACTGTCGCTGGAGCGGTTTTTTATCAGAATCAGAATAAGAATCAATACATTCTGCAGTCGGTCCAAAGGTCTAAAGGACAATCAATGTCAAAGAAAGAGTCAGTAAATCAATGTGTGTGTGTGTGTTACCTTCATGCTGGGTGGAGCAGTGCGGGGCGGTGATGGAGGACATTCTCCCAGAGGAACACTGGTGATGTTCAGCTGCTCCTGTTTCCTGCAGAGCAGAGAATGTGACAAGAATTAACAAGGTTGAATTATTGACCAATTTTATCATCAATTTTCACTCGTCATCACGGACACACACTCTGCCAGTTTCTCCTTCGCCGAAAAGGTTACTGTAAGGCAAGAAGGCAGAACTCTGCTCCACCGTGTGACCTAGTCTGGTATAATTTCCCTTTTAAGGTTTTTGAATCACAGTCACGTTTTGTTTATTTTGTTTGTCCTGTTTTCATCAAACAAGCTAATTGTTATCTTAGATCTAGGTGACGTAGACAGTGTAGACGCGACTCATCGGTCATCCCTGCTGTAAGACGACTCTAAAATGTTCATTTTCTGTGTTCTCAACCTCTTCCTGACTCGATCTGGACCGGGGTCAGGAGGTCACCGTCTGCTTGTTTTTTCCTCCCCGAAACCGACCTGTGAAAAGCAAAGCCGTGTTTGCACTCCCTCCCCCACCGCCCCGGGGGTGGACACCTGCTGCGTTTCTATACAGATGCCCTTCGTGGTCACAGGGTTCTATAAAGAACATCTCACACCTGCTCACCGAGAAATACACTTTACCACAAGTGTGTGTTCACAGGAGACCGGGGGGAGGGGGTGGGAGGGCAGACCAGGAGGCGCTGTCCCCGCAGCCTTGATGCCTCTTCGTCCGCGGTGATAAAACAACAGATATGGATTTGAGGTTTTAATCTCACAGAAGAAAAGAGAGAGAGACGAGTCTAAAAACGTGCATTTCGTTCATGAGATTTTTAGGAAAAACAACGTTAGCCTTCACCTGGAGCAAAGATTAAGTGGTTGTTAATCTGCTGGATAAAAAGTAGAGCAGATCTGTTCTACATCCTTGTACAGCATGTGTGTCATACTAAGGCCCGGGGGCCAGATCTGGCCCGCAGTGTAATTGTATTTAGCCCGCGAGATCATATCAAATGTGTACCTAGTTATGTTTGGCCGAGACTTTGTCACAGTTTTTTATTTTGGCTCACTGTGAATTTGACACGTAACGTTCCGTGGCACGTTAGCGACATTGCTTTCATTAATAGCGCCAATTGTGGTTCTTCAACAGTAATCAAGTCAACACCGTCATCATGTTTACCCGACGGTGGTTGTCAACTTGTCTGTGGATGTGTGTCAATGAGACGGAGAAGAAAACAGAACCTGAGAGACTACGATTAACTTCATGTATCGTTAACATCCAGGAAATAAGGACGAGGACAGATGGACGTGAAGGACAGGCTTAAGAACAGAGGGTCAGACACAGCACCTCACATGTCCCTGTGGGACGGACGGGTCACAGGAAGATTTGACAAGAACACTTAAGCAAGGCATCGACGTCCGAGGCAGAGATAAAGAGATGAAGTTGTGGTTTTGGCCATGAATTCTATCCATCGTGTGCATTTGTGTCTCCAGTTAAACTTCATTACTGCTTGAAACTTGATAAGAAGCCTGGTCTGCATTCTGGTTGGCCAATTTCACGAGCAACGGTTGCTGTAATGGAGCTAATACGACAGTTATTGGACGCAGAGGGAAGGAGAAATATGAGGTATGTTAAAAGCTGGAAAAACAAAGAGGATTTGGAAACAAAAAGAAAATCCTGGTGCGGACAAAAAAAACGTGAAACTCAATCTTCGGCGAGCATTCTAATGACACGGGACAAAGAAATACAAACAAGGAAGTACCAACTCGTTCTATCTCATAGTACAGTTCTGACACTAGTACTAGTATTGATAGTAAACGTCTCTGGAACCTACAAGCGAATCCAGAATATTTGGCAAAACCCAGACATTGCGTTATCGAGCTTTCATTATCGGAGCAAAAAACAATAACCATTCTCACCAATATTGCATATTTATGCTAATATCGGGGTGAAAATATCGGTCGGCCGATATTATCAGACATCCGTGATTAAAACCAAACTAAAGCAACATTAGCGTGGTGGTCAGTATCAGCGGATCCATTAATAAAATACTTAAAAAACTTTAGCCCTTTTTTCTGTGAGACCAGCATCGCCCCCTGTTGTAACATTACAGGTATATATGAGCGTGCGCTAAATCCCACTGTTGTCCAACCACTTTTTAACTGTCTTAAAGTAGATTAACATCAGTCACTGCCAACATGCTAACTCCGTTACTGAATTTAATGTCAACCTCCGTCATAAAGACCAGATGGATGTACCGTATGACTCAGCTCTCCGACGGGAGCGTACAGGCATCCCAGATACGTACGCAGGTCAGCGCTGTAATAATTAAGACGCAAACATTATAATGCCAGTCACCATCTGCTTCCTGTGGGGCTCTCTTATCTCTGACTGAGATATGAATAGATGGAACATTGACAGCAGGCAGTGGACCAGAGTGTTCAGCCAGTCAACATGGAAGACACACTCTGATTATTAACCAGACAGTGAGTGGGAGGAGACACCAGAGACACACTCCGTCTGATAATTAGTGTTTACAAAGTGCACAAAATGAACCAATCCCTCAGCTTCAGAAATGTGAGGAACGGAAGAAACTTTAGCCGCAGATCTGACAGCGAAGAAGAAGAAGAACGCAACACACGCAGATGGTTTCAACCAGCTAGAAATAACTACTGTTACTATAAGCTCTCAGTAAGTGAGAAGGTACATTGTAATACTAATAGTCAACACCAGGAGTTTATAGTGATGTCTAAAAACAGACATTGTCTCTTTAAGAACCTAGAGCGACACAGTGAAACATTGTTGCTATGCCGCTTCTACGGCAGCATCTGTATTTATCATCATCAAATATACACGTTTTTTTTTTTTAAATCTGACCAATCACATGGTAGTATCGGATTAATGACAGTTGTAATTAATCAGGATTTTTCCAGGGGAGCAGTAACATTACAGTGTTGCTGGGATTGGAGCCGACAACCCTTCAACCACTAGGACTAAGCTGCCATTTAAGGTGAATACTTTGAATGGATTTGGCCAACTAGTGTTGAGTTGGTGGAATTAACCGACTAATAAATTCAAGTTTTGTAGCCGCATAGAAAATGTAAAAAAAAAAAAAATCACATTATGAAGACTTTTCCTTTTCAACCATTTTTCTTCGCAGTCACTTGCGTTCATTTATTTCAGCAATTTAAATTAAAATATTTTTCTACTTCTCTCTATCATCATCATCACCATCATCATCCACATGCTGTTCCTGCTACATTATTTATGCAAAAATATCAGACTGCGCCAACAGTAACTGGTCACACCCACTACAGACAACAACAGTAACACCCAATTTTATGACTCTGTACCTCCCTGGTTAATTAGAACACACACACACACAGGTGGTTATTGGTGCTATTGAAAAGCCTTTTATATATTTGTTAGTATAATTGAGCCACTCTGTCGTGGGCCGAGTGCTGTGGCGACAAAACAAACAAAACATAAGTGGCTCTCTAGGTCAGTGATTCTCAACCTAGGTGTGTCGTGGAAAATTATCCAATTTCACTTAATTGGTCTGAAAAAATATCATTTATATCTTGCAAATATTTTTTTCTTCGTTTGTCAAAGCGTGACATTAAATACCTCTCCACTAGGTGGCAGCAAATGGCCATGAAAACTAAAAAAAAAAAAAAGAGAATCAGAGCTGTTGAAGAAGATATTTGTGAGTGTCTTTCTTCAATTCCTGCGAGTAGATCAGGGTTGTCTTCATCTAAACAGGCCGAGACACTGCTCTATGTCACGTTGATGTGACGTTTCCATTTATTGACTGCAGCCATCTTTTATTTTTTTCCCCAGACTAATGCGACTTTAGATCGCTGGCCTTCAGACTTTAAACCTGCTCCGTCAGTGCAGACACAGAACGGAGCTGGAGACAGGGGACGGCCACATATAAAAGCCCATGAGGAGAGAGGCAGAATGAATGGGTGTCAGACAGATGGCTG